CCCCGCCCCGCGCGCCCCCGCCCACTCCGCCTCCGCCCCGCCTCCAGCCCAGGGCGGTCGCTCTATTTGCATAAAGAGGTGGCTCCGGGGCCCGCCCGGGGCGCACGTGACCCCGGGGAGGCGGAGGGAACCTGCTGACTTGACACCAGCCGCTGTGCGGCTCCCCTTGGCGCGGAATAGCGAGAGCAGCCGTGACCTCCGACCCCGCCCGCCGGCAGCCAATAAGAGCGCAGGTCGTCTCCAAACCCAAAATTTCCACGTCGGCAAAAGTCAAGATGGAAGGGAGCGGAGCGGAGCGCAAGGGGGGGAGCCTGCCCGGGAATGCCTGGCGGCCGGCGCTGGAGGGGCAGGCTGGGAAGCCTGCAACGGGCTCAGAAGGGGCCACCCGGGAGGGCTCCCCAGCCCAGGGAGGCTGGATCGCGACCACCCACCCCCAGCTCCCGGCGCCTCTGGGCACCCCGCACTTCGCCAGCAGCCTGTGCACTCCGGGCCCCGGGGACGCAGCCCACTGCCCCTCCGGCCCTGGCCCTGGGGGGTCGTAGGGGAGGGGACGATGGCGGGCGGTTGGGGGGGAAGGTGGGGAAGACACTTTCCAGACCTGTTGCACGGGTGCAACAGCTGTTCAGGTGCGGTATGTAGGGGAGGGGGCTGTCGGGGTAGGGAAGGCGGATGGCCGTAGATACTAAGGGGTGCAGGGCGCGGGCTCAGAGCAGAGGGGTGGTGTTGGGGGCTGTGTGCAAGGGGGGAAGGTTGTCCGGAGTCCGCGGGAAGCTCTGTGCCTGCGGGAGAATCCTAAAGAGTGGGTGGGTGGAGCGGAGGGGAGAGGACTGCATATACTCGAGTTCTGGGGCTGGGCGCGGGCTGCGGGAAGACCGGGAATAGAGTGGTGGGAATGGCTGGGGGAAGGGGAGCCGCTGTGGAGGCCCCGCACAGCCTTGCTTTCCTGGGCCGTCCCATCTGCGGGACATTTCCCGGACCTGTATTCGCCCCCCATCCTCCCTTAACTCTTCCAGCTCCGAGAATGCCACCTCGTGCCGCCCCCTGCCCTACCAACTTTCCAGATGGGAAGGTAAAAAGTTGCCACAAGTTAGATGGAGTTAGCTGCTTGCAAATGTTTAAATAGCAGGACCGAGGAGGAGGTGGGGTTCGACCGAGAATAGGTTCTAATCCGGGACGGGTGGGAAGGAGGGGGAGGGTGTGTGATTCCTGCAGTCCGCTTGCTGTGACATTGCGACCAGAATTTGTCGAACCGGGCTGTTAAAACACCATTTCTGTTGGGCATTTGCTCCTGCTGACTGCGGCAGTAACTTTCCATAATTAATGACCCGTTCCATTATCGGTCGCATCCTGAGCTAAATTGCTTTTAACGAGTTATTCTTCTTTGTCTTAGCTGGGGGTGGGGGGAGCACACCTGCAGGAAGAAACTTCTGGAGGAAGACAGCCTGTTTGGTCTTTTGAGGCAAAGTTCTGAGACACTCCGACTCTGAATATGATAGAAGTCAGTGCACTACAGAACTTTGTCTCTGGAGACTGTGGTCGCCGCCGCCACCACCGTCACCACCACCGCCGCCGCCGCCGCCGCCGCGAGGGCGTCCGCGGACACCCGACCCAGTAGCCCTGGTGGCCACGTCGCAGCGCCTTTCCCTTGGTGAGGGGGGAGGGGCGAGGCCAGAGGGGGTCCAAGTACTGCTGGGGGAACGTGGCCAAATCCCTGGAAGTCAGTGGGTTAAACCAAAATCCTCCCAAATTTCCCTTCTTTCATCTTACCCTGGTGGACTCCTGACTGTAGAGTTAAAAAAGAAAAAAAAAAAAGGTTGGGCTTTTCAAGGTTATTTAAAAGGTACTCAAAAGACCGACTTCGCTTATTGAGCGAGGAGAGGAGAGCCACAGGTTTATTAATGGGTGTGTGGGTGTGCAGTGCCTTACAGGAATTTAAACTCTCTACCCTTGAAGAAGGAAATGTATTTGTACAAAAGCCATGGATAATGGTCCTTTAACTCAAGTGACCTGCTAGATAAATGAGATCCTGCAAGGATTGAGTTTGGCGATCTCTTCTCAATTCTGTTTCTGATTTAGGTCCAATTCACTTTCATTTTAAAAAGTAGGTTTTATTAATGGAAAGGAAGCACTTTTTTCAAGAAAGAAATTTGAAAGACAGCTGGGGAGGGGCAAGTGTGGGGAATATTTACTTTTTGGGGCTGTTGAGATACTTTTCACAGGAGACACTGCTCCTCTCATCACTGCTGGAATGTGGGTTTTGGTTGGAGAGTTCCTATCAATAGCCTGCTCTGTGGAATGGGCCACTGGCTGGCGCCAGATTCTAGTCCTGTTGCATTGACACTGCCCTATTTTGATTTTATGAGCTTTGGGCTGGGAAGCTGATTGATCCGAATAATTACAGAAAGCTCCTTATTAACAAAGGCATTTATCCAACAAATGTGCTTGAAGTGCTTGCTGGGTGCCAGGTACAAGGCACAGGGTGGGGAGTAAAAAGGAAATGGTTCCTGGGCTATATTGCTGACAATCGAGGGAGGGACTCAACTTCTGATGTAACTTGTAGGATGCTTCATAAGCCTGGGGGGGTTGCCTGTTTGTGTCTCTGAGGGGTCCTTGATTTTATAAAAGCCATCATCTTTTTACTGGTGTTTATTCCACTGGCATATCATTGGGAGAGGGTGATGAGGGAGGATCAGTGCGGGGGAGGGGGTTATCAGTTGCTTAATATCAGAGCTTAATGGTAGGACTCAGTAGTTGCTTTTCCCAGGAAAGATGTGTCCTGATCTTAAGACAGCCTAGATTCTCTTTTACATGACTATTATCCATTCTCCCTACTTTCCATCATCAGTGACTGTTTTACTTCCGTTCTGCAATCCTCTTACCCAAAGTGTGGCTGAATTATATTCGTACAGGAAAATAAAGTGTTTTATAGTCATGTACTCTTTGATTTGAGAAGTACCTATGCTTACTTGTAAAAAGGATTCTTCCATCTGATTTTTGTGTCTGAATATGTCCACGAGTTATTCTGAGAATACTGACCTCCAACAAACGTCAAACCAACCTTGCAAGAGAATGCAGGTGACTCTTTGAGGGTGTGGGGTGGAGTGGTTGACTGGGAGAGCAGTCATCCAAGCAAAGAGATAAGATCAGGGTCTCCCTTCCAAAGAAGGGTAAGGTTTGGAGTCCTAATGGGGTTATGTCTGCTTTCCCTTTATGTGTAAATGATTTGCTTAGAAATCTTGGGCTTTGTCTCCTGCCTGTGACTACGTGAGTTAAAGGACTAAGTAGACAGGAGGGCTGAGCTTTAACTGTGCTGAGGATGATGGTGTAGGAACCAGGAAACAGGCAGTCTAGGGGTGCATACTGTAAACCTGGCATTTTTCTCATAGTCCTTGCTCATTCAGCAACCCATGTCTCGTCACCTCCTAAGTATCAGGTGTTATTCCAGATGGGGTAAGGATTGGGCAGTGAACAGAATAAGCCAAAATCCCAGTTCTCTTGGAGACTATTCTTGTGCCAGAGGCAAACAGTAAAAATGTAAAGTAGAAGGATGGAAAGCAAGCCAGGAGAGGGAAGATGGAGCAGTGGGGAGGCGGGATGCTGTTAGAACCAGGTCACCAGGCCAAAGGACACCATTACCAGCAGCCTTCTGGACATAGCCCAGGCCCTCCTGTATTTATTTTCAACATTTCAAGTGAATAAGCCAAACACGAGGTGAAACAGAAACTATGGTATCAATAAACATTGGTAGCCTTTCACTTTTTTTAAAGAGTATTTCTATTTTCAAGTACAAATGTTGGGACATGTGAGGATGCTAG